AAGCTCTTTCTTTTTGGCTGTCTCCGTGAATGTCAGTCCTATCCTGACTGTCCTACCTGTTGTTATATCTCTTTAACATGTTAACATGATACATTCACTGATTTTCTTCTTGTCCAGAGTACTTGCTATATAATTCACATCATTGAGTTTCTTCTGATTTGTGACGGTCCAGTGAACATTGATTTTGATGGTTCCTCTATCTAACACCCGGTCTCCCGCAAGAAACTTCCACATTTTAGTATTTTTATCTGTTCTCGTTTCCATGGTTTATGAGCACTTTTCAAATGCTTTTTGGCTAACTCTCTCACTTTGGTTAGTTTCTTGTTGAAATTCAAAACAGACCAGATATGTAACGTCTGAATTTTGATTTATATATTTCTTTTTAATTAATTTAAGGGGTCACTTCCTTGCCGAGCTGGCTGGTTACAGTTCAGACGTTTCGTCACCATGCTAGTTGACATAATCAGTGCAGCCTCCGATGAAGTGATGTTGTTCTACTCCGCTTAGTATTTATATGATCAGGTCTGTTGAGGTCACTCTCACTTCATGTCCATATATTAGTTCAAGAGGAATGAATCTGATGGTGGCATTAGGGGCTATCCCTCGTGGCAGACTGGAGTAATGGAATTCTTTTATTCCAATTATTAAGATATTCTTGACAACAAGCTATAATCATGGTCTTTAAAGTTTTATGTCATCTTTCCAGTGCTTCCTGAGATCATAGATGATAAGTAGAAGATGTTGTTTTATTCTCAAAATATTAATTAATAAATAACTATTATTTAACAACCACTCTCATTTCTCCCAAAGGCATTGCTTTAGGAAATCTTGTCAAAGCATCCATTATTGTTAAAAAGTACTGATTCTCTTTCCTCATTTTAGGCAGGTGTCCTATGCAACCTGTTAACACCCTGCTTAATGCTTCTTCCAAAGCTAGTATTTGAATTAAAGGCACAGGTTTAATTGATGGTTTGGATTTCCCCACTGTGTGATATGAATGCCATGCCTGGCAATATATCATCACCGCTTTATGTAACTCTGGCCAGTGAAGTTGTTCTAATATTTTAACATTTGTTTTCTTAACACCAAAGTGAACTGTATTGGAATTTCATGAAGCATTTTTGTTATGATAGGTGCAACTGTTACCTGATGGACTACTGTTGAACTCTGTATAATGGGATTGGTTTGGTTTGGTGCTTTCAAGTACATTGTTTTCCTTCATTAAGCCCTTTGGAAGACAAATGACATCATCAGTTAACATTAGCGACTGACTTGCTGCAATATTTTTCAATATCTTTATTAGTTTACATTCTTGATTTGAAGCATTAGGGAATACAGCTTCTCTTGACACACTGTCTTTTTGATGGTATAAATATTTTCAGTTCTAATAACTTTTAGATTTTTATCCAGTCTTGCCTGGCTTAGAAAACTCCACAGTACTAAAACACTTCCGCCATGTAACTGATTCTCCTGAATTAAAAATTGATTATCTTGCTCGGGGAAACTTTTCTCCTTTCTAACCTGAACTCCTGGTTCTTCGGATATGAGGCCTTCTGTTCTGACATCAAAACTGATGATTTCTGGTCTGTTGTAAACTCAATAATATAAACATTCCATTCATTATTGTGTGTAGGTCTGAATGCTATATGGGAAGGATTTGAATGCACTGCATAAGCAGTTTATAAGAACAGCTCCGGGATGAGGAACTTTGTTTATGAGGATAGATTGCAGAAGTTGAGATTGTTCTTCTTGGAGAGAAGAAGGCTAAGAGGAGATCTGTAGAGGGTTTCAAAACCATGAGCGTGTTGGATAGAGTAGATAGGGAGAAACTGATCCCATTCATAAAAGGAAGAAGAACTAGAGGGCATTGATCCAGTGATCTGCAAAAAAAGAGCAAAGGTGAAATGAGCAAAAACATTTTCAAAACAGCGAATAGTCAGGGTGTGGAATGCACTGCCTGGAAGAGTAGTGGAGGCGTGTTCAATTCAGATATTCAAGAAAACTTTGGATGATTAATTGTGTGTGCAAATAATGTGCAAGGGTCTGGGGAGAAAGCATGAGATTGGCGGTAAGTAATGATATTCATTTAATGAGCTGGTTCAGGCACAGTGGGCCAAATGGCCTCCTTTGCACTTTAATACTTCTGTGATTATTACTGCAGGGGTACTTCCATGCACTTCACTGCAGTCACATCTTTTTTAGGAATTAATGCGCTTAGTTCACTGTTGAGAATTGCCTTCAAGCTTTTTTTTGTATAAATACCTTCACACAACTAACCTACATCCATCTGCCTCAATTTTAAAATCCAAATCCCTACCCTTTCACATAAAATATATTTAGGTGTGCATTTGGATGGGCTATAACTCTCAGGGTTACATGCAACAGATGGCAAATTGATTAAACTGTTTTGCCCTTTTGGCTGGCAGAGACACAATGGGCTAAATAATTCCATGTTGTAAATTTTGTGTTTTTATTGTCTTTGTGGCAAACATTTAGATTGAAAGGAAACATTAAGTGTTAACATTTACTTGCATTTAATTCACTGAGTTTGATTTTTATTTTGCTCATAATACTACTGCTAATTCAATACCTGAGTAATGCATCTAAACATCCCTTTTATCCTCAACACACGCTAATTGATTTTTATTTGTGTTCACTGAGTGATGCTAAGAGTTTTATTCCATTATAAAACCTTGAATTGATCATTTTACTTAACATAAGCTATATCAAATTATCTAAAAATGTTGATTTATTTCTGTTTTCCATGTTTGCCATACCTACTCATGTAATGTCTACTCATTATTTGCATTTGCTTATTTACTGCCTAGATATTAGGATGTTCTCTTGGAACATGCAATTCTGCAGGAAATGAAAGTGATGTCCCATGATATCAATAAAACAAGGAACTGCGGATGTTGGAGATCTGAAACACACAAAATCAGAAATTGCTAGAGAAACTCAGCAGGCCTGGCAGCATTTGTGGAGAGAAAACAGAGTTAATGTTTCAAGCCCAGTGACTGTTCCATGGAACAGTTCTGAGGAAGGGTCATTGAACTCAAAACATTAACTTTGTTTTCTCTCCACAGATGCTGCCAGACCTGTTGTATTTCTCCAGCAATTTCTGATTTTGTGTGTTTCCCATGATATCAATCTGACTGTCTCTGTCTCTACCTCCACCACACTTTTTATCCCACACTTAAGTACATACATTTTCATTCACCTCCCTCCCCGCCTCTTTCTCTCTCACAGGAACACAAACACATTTCTCACAATTAGGCTGTCATAATCACAGAGGTCTCAGTCTATTGTCCTCATGTACACACTGACTAAAACAGGAAAACCATTGCAAGTATCTTACAGACTTAGAACCATGAAATATAGGAGTAGGAATAGGCCATTTAGCCCTGCTTGACAATTCAACATGATCATGGCTAATTATCCAACTCAAGAGCTTGTTCCCACTTTCTCCCCATACCCTTTGATCCTTTTTACCCTATGAACTATATCTAACTTATTAAATTTTTTTTCTGATACTGGATAACTTTTTAGAAATTTTATAATTTATACTATTTTTAGTGCAAAAGATTAATTATTTCTGAGTTGTTATTTATGCAGCTACATATTGCTCAGACAGAAATTAAGGCAATGGTTAGAACCAAGACCTGAGGAACAGGTCCCATATTTGAGTCAATACAAAAATTATTGTACTTTTTTCCACTGCAGTGGTCGGATTCAGTCTGTCACCATTTGTGCTTTATTTTGCATTCGTCAGCTCATATTTGTGGCTATTGAGCAGCAGACTATTAAATTGGATTTTCTGGAAAAAAGAACTTTTATTTGCATTCCATCCTTTGCATTTCATTATCACGACGACATTTGAGTTACCATCAATATTTAAATGTAACATCAGATTGCTTTATTTTCATATATAGTTGTAATATTGTATCTACTTAAACTCCTGGTGCAGGTACCACTTGTCTTTTGATTTATGACTTGATTGAAAAAGCCGAACCAGTTTTTTATAAGATTCAGATTATTTAATATGTAAAAAATAACTTTTCAGTACTGAGGAATGTTCTAAACCTAATCCCAAAATGAAACATACTGAGCTGTCCATCTTACCATCTTTTTATTTGCTGAATTATGTTGACATTGTAAAAACTAGGTCCTACCTTAGCAAGTTGTGTTTTTATAATATTGATGAAGGAAATTTGGCATTCTAATTTTTGGTTGTAAAAGCAAAAGAATTGGAAATAAGACCTGCAAGTTTTTGAAGTACACTTATTGAGCATAATTGTTCATGGTTGTTAAAAGTAAGATAATCTCTTTCTGCTTGTAATGAAGTTGCAGAATATTATTTTTGAGAATATTCATTCAAGGAAATTTGAATGTTTTCAAATCAGTAAAGAAAATCAAAGGATTAAACTCCGTCATAAGCACAAAGAATTATTTGATGCTAAAAATTTAGTGAAATAGGTTTTTCATGTGTATCGAGGGTTGGGAAATTGAAAGGGCTCCATTCCCAGTACACAATTCTTGCTATCTGATTTTCTTCACTGTAGTTAACAGATTGAAGTGTTCATTTAAAAAGTAATTTCCACCACCCTACACAGACCCCTTGAAAACTATGGGTACATTGATTATTGAGCAATATAACTAGAAAGAAGATGAACATTTTGCCAAATGAACTGTCAACCACTTTACAAAAGGAAATGTTTTAGATTTGCATTCTGTAGGTGTAGTATGCACATGACGTGTTTTTAAAAAAAAACAGTGATGAAGAAGTAGTGCAATTAATTTCAACATGTGCTAAACATCATAGTACAAAGTATGAGAAAGCCTTTCTATAGAATAGGATTTTTTCAAAGCCTCTTAAAATGTAATATCAAAGAGATCTTCATTTGTAACAAGGTAAATGTTCAGTTTCTGGTTTGATTAAGGCCCAAGTACTGACTATTGGATGCTTTCCTTGACCTAATTGTTTTTTTCCCTCTCTTCAGATTTTTGAGCATGTGTACGAGACATTTTGGCAGTGTTGTGGCACAGACCGTTAGAACGTATAAAACTGATCAGTTTCCCCTGCTTCTTATTATTATGGGGAAACGATCATCCAATGAAGTTTTGAATGTGATTCAAGGTAATTTCAAGTAGAAAGTCTATATGTTATAAATGTCATTCATATGCAGAGTATGCGAGACAATGGCAAATGTTAGAAATCCGTAAGTTGCAATGTTCAGATACAGCTGAGATAATTTGAACACAGTGCTTTGGTTTAAATTGTGTTTGTGTATGATACACACACAAATAATCAGTGTCAAATTGCTTCCTGGTAAATTAATCGTTTCCAAGAAATTTATTCCACTATCAAATAAAATATTTTCAGACTGTTTTTCCTCCATTTAACTCACTTGTTTTTAGTTAGAAAGTGATTAAAAATAGCTGTGCCAGCACACAACACATTCAACCTCATCCTGAATTCATACTTATAAAAAAAAAGAGTGCCACTTCTTAATGCCTTTCTAATGAAAGCTCAAATTGCTTGCTTCCATCAAACATGCATTAATCTTAATAGCTTAAAGCTCAATTGTGTCCCTTTGTTGCTAGGTAATACAACAGTAGATGATCTGATGATGCGGCTGATGAATGCCATGGAGATCTTCACAGCGCAACAACAAGAGGATATAAGGGATGAGGTAAATAGATGTGAAAATATTTAGGTGTTTTATTTGTTACAATCTGTTAAACAGTTTTATGAAATAAAAAGACAAATATTTTTCTAAATTAAAATTGGATATTCAATAAAGCATGAATTAAATATTTGAAAAAAAATGAAAATAGCTTCTGAGACAAAAGCTTTCTTTAAAAGGGAATTATTAGTTTTCCAGATTTCATCTTTTTGCATTTAATGCATCTTTTGTCTCCAATAAACAAAGCATTCGTTTCATAACCAACTTCTCAAACTACTAAAGTCTGATGTTCTGCACCTTTATTATTTTTAGCAAAAGCAATGAACATTCTTTCCTATCATTGCTTTTACTCCTGAAGCTGGTGACATCCTGGTGGAAACTATTTCCATCAAAGTTGTTTATCTTCACTATCGTGTGTATCGACAAACGCAACCTTAATGTTGCTGAATGCAATATTGTCCTCACCGACTGTGCTGACAACACATTTTTGCAGGGAAGTCATTGGATAGCCATTAATCCAAGAACTCTGGTTTCCTTATTCTCTTGCTTGGAGGTGTTTGAATCTCAGTTAAGGCCTGCAATTCAGTATGGATAAAGGATTCAAGCCTGAGGATTTCAATTTTGGTGTTAAATCATTTACATATTTTGGACCTCTAGAGTTTAACTTGGATTGTAATATTGCAAATATTCGAATTGGTATAAAATATGTCAAATTTTTGCAAATGTAGAATTCCACTCTAAGCAGGATTTTGGTTGCCCTATTTACCGATCTCTTCCTCCTTCATGCTTCAAATTTGCATTCTAAAATAAATGTGGTAAACTGTTCAAGGGCCTGCCCTTTATAGCTTATCACAATTCAAACTTTAATTTAGGCAATGTGGTCTAAATAGTCTCAGTGATGACCCCTCCAGTGATGCTAGCCATTGCCTTCTCCATGAGAATAAGAATGTGCAAATATGCTAGTCCCCCACCAGCAACTGTCATTGCTGTTTTTTCAGGAACCTGTCTTACAATACAGGGGGAAATGAGTCAATGAGTTTGTAACATCCTGTGGCCTGATGTGGCTGCTTATGGTTGAATTGCTGGTGGTATGTGCAGGCCAGATTGTCTTAAACCATCTGTTCCACTCATGACTTTGAAGGAAGAGGCTCTACTGTCCTTTCCTCCATTGGACTCCAGACCCAAAACAATATGACTGACTCTTAATTGCCCTCTGAAATTACCTAGCATGTCTCTTAGTTGTATTCAAATCACCGTTAAAAAAATACAGTGCTATTGGGAGCACCTTGATCACCCAGTTCACAGCAGTTCAAGATGGCTGCTCACCTTAAGAAGGCCAGTGACTAATGTGCAATAAATGCTGCCCTCACTAGTGATACCTCAGAATGCATTGAAAAAAATCTGGTTGAAATTGACCCTCAAGGACATATCTAGCTCTTTACAATTTGTAAATCTCAGTTGAATTCCCCAGATCTGTGCTCCTTTAACCATACAGGCCAAACTCTTTGAAACAAAAACAAATTAGTGATTTTTGACAAAAGGTCATTGACCTTGATACAGAATCTCAGAACTGTTACAACGCAGAAGGAGGTATTTTGACCTATTGTGTCTGCACCTGCCCTCCAAATGAGCTGTTCACAGAGTGCCATTTCCCCATTTCTCCTTGCAGCTCTGCACATTTTTTCCTTTCAGATAGGTCTAATTTCCTTTTGAATCCTTTAGTTGAAACTGCCTCCATCAGACCTCTAGGAAATGAATTCCAGACCCTAACCACTCACTGGGTGAATAAATTTTTCCTCACGTCACCTTAATTACCTCATTACTTTAAATCTGTGCCCTTTACTTCTTGATACATAATACCTGACACAGCATTTCTATTCGAAGATGCACCAAGATCTCCTGTGTGTTTCTAGCATTTTCTCTTTTATCTTCCTTTTTGGGTCTATGTGGGTTACTGAAATGTTTTGAACTGAGAATTCATTTTGGGCCCCTCCTCTGTGCTGTTTCCAAAGCCTCGGTCTCACCCACCATGGTTCCTGACTTTACAACAGTGACTTCAAAATCTACTAAATTGCAATAAAGTGCTTGCTATGGCAACCACATGTCACAAAAAAACACGGTATATGTCTTTTAGAACTGACGCACCCACTCACCTGCCTCCGCCAAGTTATTAAAGCTACAGATTAGCATGGAGTTATCCCAACATTTTAAGGAGTACTGGTAGATTCATTTGGGTCAGCAGCTGATTTTAAGGTTCCCCCTTATACCCAAGATGATATCCTCAGGTATATTAGTAATCTTCCTGTAAATGCCAAGTCATTTCAGCATCATCTTCAAGAATAAAGCCCAGTGCGTAGTGCTCATCTAGCATTTTAGGCATACGTTGGATTATTTATAATCGGTCCTTGATTCATTGAACCACAGCGTCATTCAGCAGCCAAGTCTTTGATTCTTAACAGCTGAAAAAGCTTTGAGCAACATTACTGGGGTTGTTCGTTGCACTCTTTTCCAATAATTTAGCTGACCTAATAGCAGCCTTTTCTTCAACTGTTCGTAGTATTTGACATGATTTTGCTTTGTATTTGTTTTGTTTTGTATTATGCATTGTTATATTATAAACTCATTTTTGGTAACATTTATTTTTGTCTTTGTGCATGATCAGCCTGCCATCTAGGCATCCTATCATACCACTGCTCACTTTTAGGAAGGTAAATGACTTCTATGTATTTTAATTTCAGAAATTATAAATTCCTGGTAAATGGCATGGATTTTGGAATTTTGCCTTTGGACTCTTTGTTTTGATTGGGAGCTTTTAAAAAAAGTTTGAGTCAGTTAACAGATGGCCACTCAGATTAAGCTGCTTTTCTGGCAGCTTTTTGTGTTTCTGGCCAGTTAGGTTAAAACAGTTGGAATTGGCCAGAAATCCTTGAAGCTGCCCAAGAAACAGTTCAATCTGAGTGACCGTCAGTCCACTGACTTTTTATTTAAGTCAGCCAATCGGGAAGCTGCCCACTCTGAGCAACTGTTGATCATTTTTTTTAAAGAAATGTGAAATGGAGAATGGGACCTGGTGGCACTGTAGTGAATGGAAGAGTGGCATGGGATGGAAAGACAGAACTACTTCTACAAACAAAGATTCTGTCTCCCCTGGGTGCAACTGCTGCATCTTCTCTGTCGTGGCTTAAAGCTGAGAGTTTGAAACCGACAGCAGTTGAGTATGGTGTTTCTCATTTTTTTTGGCCGTGTCTTTCTGAGTGAGATTCATGGCACCTGGACACGCAGTCTTCTGCTCTTCATCTGGTTAATGACACGTTCAGCTTCTTTGGTGCCTATCTTGTGAAATCATGTGGCCAAAGAGGCAGAAGTGCTCACCATTGCCTGGATTTCTCAATGTTCATGCTACTGATTCCATAGTTAAACTCCAACTGTGTGCCACTTCAGACTGCCAGACTGGACCTTCCCATCATGCTATGGTCCTTCATCAATATACTGAAGGAAATCGCCAGGAAAGGCAAGTTAGTTGCTCGGTTTTGCAACAGGGACCTGCAGGTGCTTGTGCGTGGAGTGGAAGACAGGAGGGCTATCATTTTCCCTGCTGTCTGGCAGAAGTAGCCACACCATCAGGCACAGCCAGTCTGGACCAAGTTAACAATCCAGGTCACTGCAGTTTCCCAGATGAAACACAATGCACTGCAGTGCAGGAAGAAGGTGTATGATCATCTGGACTCCTCAAAGGGAAGAGCCATCAATTTGTCTCTGTTACCTCATACTCACAAGGCCACCCACTCACTTGAACTCTGCTGCTACATATGCCATTCAGTAAGGGTCACGGACTACAACTTTCATTATCACATTCATGCAATAGCTCCTCACCGCATATGAGTAGAATGTTGGTTTTGGCCAGTAAAGTGAAACACCACTTATGCAGCTGCTGAGACCTCGATGGTCCAACTAGCTCATTGACCTTCATTGTGCTCCATTGTTCTCCCATTACATCAAAGCTAACTCATTCATAACCTAAAAAAAACATTTATTCATTTTACAGAACTAATTCTTCCTCCTATGCAGGCACTTGTGGCATCCATTGCAGCTCACCAAGCAGAGACCTGCTCCAGAGATACTCGTGTTCCACCTGCACCTCTGAGGAGGAAGCCACTCAATCCTCAAAGGCTACATCAACACAAAGACTTCCACTTCAGTGCATTCTCTATCTGGATTAGACTTGGGAGCACAACTTGTTAAGCATATCTTTAAGGATTTTCAGCTGCTGCTCAAGGAAGAAATGTCCCCAGTCTCTGGCACTTGGAGCACTGCCAGAGACCAGGCACCCACACACCCTCAGGGAGATCACCATTTCATGGTTTTTCCCATTAATGACATTGTTAAAATGCCAAAATAGGTACAGGAACAGAAGGCAGGTTTGTCAGGGCAAGTCAGTAAACTCGATCAAAGGATGGAGGAGTCCACCCATATTCCTAGTATCTTGCTGGTTGATATGTGTATGTCTGGCTTCCTCCATGGACAGGTTCGCTACCACCATGGAGAGCCAGGTCCAGCACACTCGGGGTCTGCCAAATATATGCACTGACCTGCACTCCATTGCTGTATCCATAAGTGCTCATCATCAATGCAAGCATCATTAAACCATACAGTACGGAAGGAGCCCTCTGGCCCATTGAGTCTGCACTGACAAAAAACTAGTCTAAATCTACACTAAATCTAAGCTAAACCCAACCTAGTCAATTACCAACCCATCAGTCTACTGTCGATCTTCAGTAAAGTGATAGAATGTGTCATCAACAGTGCTGTCGAACAGCACCTGCTCAGCAGTACCCTGCTCAGTGAAGTCCAATTTGCATTCCACCAGGGCGACTCAGCTCCTGACTTCATTAAAGCTTTGGTTCAAACATGGACAAAAGAGCTTAATTCCAGAATTGAGGTGATAGCGGCATCCCTTAACATCAAGTCCACAGTAGACCAAGTGTGGCATCAAGCAGCCCATGCAA